CACCAGCATCTGAATCAGAGACGAGTGATGTAACATCAGTATCTTGTCTCCAGCACATCCCCAAGCTGAAGGGAACATTAGGATCCTGCTGACAGACCTTAAACAGACTATGAGAGCTGACTTTCAAAAATTAGCTGCTGACATTAAGAGAGATGTGCAGGCCATTGGGGACCGAACAGCCCATTTAGAAGACAAGATAGAGGAGGTCATAGAAGCACATAATACCCTGGCTGATGCCTACACCACATTCAAGACTCAAATACAACAGCTGGAGACAAAAGTGGTGGATCTATAAGATAGGGCCCGCAGAAACAATATCCGTCTGCGTGGCATATCTGAGGAGGTAAAACAACCTGACCTAAGAGACTATATTAGCCAACTCTTCCATGCACTGCTACCGGAGGCTTTGGAGCAGGATTTACAACTAGACAGAGTACACAGGCTGATGAAGCCCAGAGGCCTCCCAGCGGCAGTACCAATAGATGTAATTGTAATTGTACATTTCTACACAGTAAAAGAGAGGCTTATGATGGCTGCGCGTGACGCACTGAATCTAGGAGAGCGCTTCAAGGATATCCAGCTATATACCGACTTGTCACCAGCGACAATGGCTAAAAGAAGAACTTTTAGCCCTATCACCAAGGCACTCAGAGAGGCATCCATACCATACAAATGTGGCTTTCCGACACACCTAATCACACGGAGGAATGGAGTGGAGAAGGTGTTTCTCAGCCCGGAGGACGGGAGGAACGGGCTAGCACAATGGAACATTCCCCTGCCACAGACAGAGTCGGTGGAAAAAGCTGCCCCTACCCACCCATCTCGAGTAGCTGGAGACTGGCACAGAATTGAAGCAGCTAAGTGAATGGCACACCACAGACACTTTTGTTATTCATTTTTTTCAAATGTGAGGGAATGTGTTCTAGATGCCGGTTGATATGGTTGTAAGGTGAGAAGGAGTTAACACCCCTATAATAACATGGATTAAGGCGAGGGGACGCCCAGCGATACTGCCCAATGGGCTCTGATACACGATCCACTGGTCACCGGATAACTTAGGACTGGGCCGGTGAATCAGTTTTGCTTTTTTTTTTTTTCTTCATGTTGGGTTAGACTGCATTTGGTTTGCAAAATAAAAGCAAATAAATCATAATAACGATAATAATAACATATACAAACAGAATGTATTTAACAAGGGGAGAAAGGAAAGAGGGGAAAGACATAGAGATAAGGAAAAAGAAAAGAAAGAAAAAAATAAAATAAAATGCAAAAATAACGAAAAAAAAGGAAAATTGACTAAGTTAAAAGAAAAAAGAGAGGAAAAGAGAAAAAAAGGGAAGAGCAATAATAATAAAGTAGTAACAAAATAAGATAAACCTCATACTGAGGTCAAACAACCGGGCACGTTTAGTATATTTCCATATGTTGATATTGTTGAAAGTATGCATGTACAAACGGACACAGGAACGTAGGTCGTAAAATATAGAGAGAGCAAGACCACGACACATAACGCATGTCCTCTCTCTATCTTGACCTAGGGACACGACATCTATGTCTCGGTCTAGGGTTAGAGCTATGGATAGGGACAGTCCCCTATGACATGACATACTCAATAGATGGTACTACCCACCACTTCACCCCCCAGTGGCCAGAGCCCGTCACATGGTTCTTGGGCAACTGTATATAAGTTTTTTCTGTTATTTCGCTCTTAAGATCTTCTATCTTAATGTTTTCTTCTTTGTCTTGTTCGAGGGAATCACAGTGCTTACACACAGGAGGGCCTATACCCAGAGCCCCGATGGGGTGGGAACTGACAAGGGGTCTAAGATAAAGGAGGAAGGACTGCTGCTTAGAAATACTGGACAGCACAGTAGGTTGTATGTAATAAAATGGTGCTGACGTTTCTATCATTGAACACTAAAGGACTCAACTCCCCGAATAAATGGAGGCTGGCACTATTGGAAGCGAAAATGGCAAAAGCCCAAATCGTATTCTTTCAAGAAACCCACTTCCAATGGGGTTAGAGACACAAATTCAATTCCCCCCTATACCCTTTAAACTTCTATTCCTGTGTCGATTCTTATCGGGAAAGATGTGGCGTTCGAACTAGTAAAAAAATGTACAGACCAACAGGGAACGTACTTAATTATACAATGCCTACTGAATAATGCCCCATACACTTTAATTAACTTATACGGCCCTCATACAGCACAGGCAGCATTTCTCATTAATATTTTTAACGCACTGGACGAATGCAGACTAGGGGAAGTAGTGATAGGAGGAGACACGAATTTCATTCTAGATACTTAACTTGATACATCCTCCTCACACACAGTGAAGGCATCTACTGAGGCAGGCAGGAGAACAACCACAGGGCACCTTAATCAACTCCTTCTAGAGCAGTATTTCATAGACCCATGGAGGGTGAAACATCCGCAAGAAAAAGATTTTACATTTCACTCCGCGGCACATAACTCGTACTCCCGAATAGACCGCTTTTTGATACCCACCTCCCTGATCAGCAACATCGTCAACACAACTATAGGCCTTATAACGTGGTCAGACCATGCGCCAATCATACTCCACCTGAATAAACAATTTCCTGCCAAGGGGAGGGGAACTTGACGGCTTAATGAAAACTTGCTTACTGACCCCCAGGTATTGGAGGATATCCATAAAGAACTGGAGGTCTATTTTATGACCAATTCTTGACCAGACACACCCATAAAAAATACATGGTTAGCCCATAAGGCATACATCAGGGGAGTACTACTTAAGCACACTAGTAAAGCCGCACGTATAGCCAAATATATAAACATCACTAGCCGCCTCACAACAATAAACACACTTAATAAACAAACACCCTCAAGGACGCATCTTAACCCCTTAAGGACTGAGCCAAATGTACACGTTGTGAACGAAACAAAATGTAAACAAAACCTGGTATTTGCGCTACATGTCTGTCCAACTGTAATTCACCTCTTTCATATTAAATGTATCCACCCTTATTATATATCATTTTATTCAGGGGAAACAGGGCTTTCATTTAATATCAAATATTTAGCTATGAAACATAATTTAATATGAAAAAAAGTGGAGAAAATAAGATTTTCTTTGATTTTTTTAGTTCTACATGACATTTTAACTGTCAATGTCATAATACTGTTTGCTTTTACTGCAATAAAATACACATATTTGTATATAGCAGACAAAATGCCCACAGCATGTGCCAACTTCTGCCCGATATCCCTCTTAAATATAGACACCAAACTATACGCAAAAATCCTGGCGACTAGACTCAAACATTTACTCCCCACTCTGAAACACTATAACCAATCAGGCTTTGTCAAGGGCAGGCAGGGCTCGGACAATTCCAGACTCCTTCTTAACTTAACTCCTGGAAAGACATGATGCTCTCGTGAGCAGGGAGAGTTAACGCAGTGAAAATTATGGCCGTACCTAAACTACTGTACTTATTTCGCATGTTGCCTATAACTGTCCCACAAACTTTTTGTAAAAAAGCCCAGGCCATAATTAACAGCTTTATATGGGAGAACAAGAGAGCGAGGGTAGCAGGTCACACCCTGTACAGACTGTTCCAGATGGGAGGAATGGGGGTACCGCATGTGGCCACATATCGCTAAGCAGCCATACTAACCCAAGCAGTAAATCTCCATGCAGATGAAAGTCAACTACTTTGGATCGACACGGAACGCAAAAGATGGCCTAATGAGACCCTCCTGGAGTATATGTGGTCCCCACCAACCAAACAGAGGAAGACACGCACACTCCTTTCCACAACAAAACTGACCGTATACATATGGGATAGGTTTCGAGCCATTCAGTCTAAGACTCCTAGATTCCATAGACTGGCTCCATTAAACGTCATGTCCACAGTTTTACCATGGCTCCCACTATCCAAATGTGCAGAAGCGGCCATCACTAAAATATTCCAAGTATTTACAGGTAATGAAATCACTCCCTTTGCAGAGCTCCAACAGGAATACAGTCTAGCCCCTATATATGTATTCCCTTACCTCCAAATTAAGAGTGCACTAAGATAGGGCCACCGAGTGCAACGATGGGGAACCTAAAAAGAAATGCGATCTCCTCATGACGTGTTGGAAACACCCCCTCAGACCTAAATTACTCTTAAGGTCTACAAGGTGATATCAAACTATCCAATATCCCCATGTCTGTCATTTATGTCCCAATGGGAGAGGGAAAGCGGGAAGACTCTTCCTCCCCATAAATGGCTATCGCTAGTCAATGCACTGACTGGACATACTGCGTGCTATTCACATGTGGAAGCCCATAGAAAGCTAATGTACCGATGGTATCTGACACCGGACAGGCTTAACAAAATATACCCAAACACTTCTGACCGGTGCTTGAGATGTCAGACACAAAGAGGCACGATGCTCCACACATGGTGGGGATGCTACCTTATTCAGCCATTGTGGCTGGAGGTTATTAGGCTGCTTAGCAAAGTAGGTATCAACCTCCCGCAGGAGTTTGAGGCCTGCCTATGGTTGGACCTTCCCACCAGCTGGAGGAAGCAGGAGAAGGCGCTGGCCACACAAGTGATATTAGCAGCTAGAGCTCTCATAGCGATCAATTGGAAATCAACCAATTGCCTGTCTGAAACTAACCTCATGGACAAAATCCGACTATATTACGTGTACAACATCTCTTCTGCGATAACTGCCAGCCAAAAATATAAGATATCTCAAAACTGGGAACCTTGGTGCAGCCAATACCAATTCCAGCCCCCATAGCTCACATTTTGTTTTTCCCTCAATGTTGAATGTTTCTAAATGTCTACTATTTTCTTTTTCTGTTTTAATTTTTTGTTCAGGGATGACCAGGCCGAGCAATACCTTGGCAACTGCACGATACTTCACAGGGTACCATACTTAAACGGATACTTACGAGGCAGTAACTATGTACACAGGGAGACCCATCCAGTAGATAGACCGTAAGATGCTAAGGCACAGGGTTAACAATACTTTGAAACCTTCTGAACGCCCAACAAGGTTAGCATATGTAAAACATAAGCTAACCACACACCAAACAGGTGTGAGATATCCAGAGCATTGCCCCAGCTTGCATGTAAGGGGCTGACAGTTATACTGCCTCAACGACGGAACACACTTAGAGGTTGCAAGGCGGTGGAGTAAGTAATGCCCGTTCTGACATGGAATGGGCAGTGAACACTTTATGCCCAAACAAACAAGTACATAGATATGAGGTGATCAACATGAAATGGTGAATGTCGTTGTGATGTATCAGATCCTCTGTACTGTAACCCTGAACAACTTACCCTCCCATTTTTTCTTCTGTACTCCCCCCCCTTTTTTTTTTTGTTATTGAAAACGAATAAACTCAATTCATAAAAAACAAAACAAAAAAAACATCACCCGCATCTACCCCTTTCTTACACAAGATGCTACTAAAGAGCTTGTCCATGCTCTAGTAATCTCTCGCATGGACTATTGTAACTCTCTAATAATTTGTCTTCCCAATAGCCATATTACCCCGCTACAGTCTGTAATGAACACTGCTGCCAGACTGATTTTCCTCTCTAGTCGGTCCTCTCACACCTCACCCCTATGTCAGTCCTTACATTGGCTTCCTGTATTCAATAGGAGTCAATTCAAATTGCTAACCCATACCTATAAAGGACTGAATAATCTTAGCCCCTCATATCTCTTCACAGATCCATAGGTATGTCCCTTCTCGGTCGCGTCGCTCTGCCCGTGACCTTCTTCTGTCTCCTGCTTGCACCTTTACGGCCAACTCAAGCTTGCAGGACTTCTCCCTTACTATGGAATATCTCTCCCCTAGTCTTCAATCATTTAAAAAGTGCCTTAAAACCCATTTCTTTAGGAAAGCCTATGACCTCCCCGACTAACCTCTACCTCACATACCCGTCTCTTGCTCTCTCCTAAAGGGTAACACTTTACTCTCTCCTCCAGCTCTGCTTCATTACCACCTTATTTGATTGCTATTTCCTGTCCTAAGGTGTTTTATACCCCACCTCCTATAGATTGTAAGCTCATTTGAGCAGGGCCCCTATTGTTTCTGTAAGTTTTCTTTTAATTTACCTATTTATAGTTAAATTACCCTTCTAATAATATTGTAAAGTGCTACGGAATCTGTTGGCGCTATATAAATGGTGATAATAATAATAATAATAATAACTGCTATGTTTACAGCTGCAGGGTTAAAACTAGGGGGATATGGCACCCAGAACATTTCATTGAGCTGAAGTGGTCTGGGTCCCTTTAGTGGTCTTTTAACTACCCAATGCCGGACTATCTCTGTATATCTCCATTTCCAGTCCAGGTAGTGGTTTTGTAACAAAGGAAAATGTCTGCTTTTCATTATCTGTTTGCACTTTAAAAAAGGCAAATATAATATTTAATTTTCCAATTGTTTTGCACGTTTCTAATTCACAGAATACAAGTTCCGTTATATAGCTTTCTAGTAACAAATTGTTATTTTCCTACACATTTTCTTCATTAAGTCTGGAAGATAAACACACTAAGGGCAAAACGTCATGTTTGAACTGCTTCAAGAGGTTCTTCTTAAAATTATGCTTGGCTTTGTTCACTCTCTCTCCCATAATTAAGTTAAGTATAGGAACCACCAACATTGGGGTACATTGATTGAACTGATAAGCTTAAAGATGGTATGGCCATATGGTGTGACTAAATCTCCATATTTATCTGCTACAGATGATTTTAAAAAGTTCTTCCAAGCACTATGACCACTTCAGTGATACAGGCGCTTATTAGCTGAGGTTTAATTCAACCTCTCGCAGCAGAATTAGCTAGCCAAGAACTAGAGTTCCTACCTGACTGGTTTAAATCTGTGCATGTTGGGTGTCTGTCATCAGCATGCATTTCACACTGGCGATAGTTGACGAATGTTGGCATGTCTACCCCTACATGCCACCTAAGCCTTCTCCTCAGCCCATCCTTCAGGTGATCCCTCTCTTGCAGTCAGGTGGAACCACCAGAGGAAGCTCAGGCTGCAGGGAGAACGTGGCCTCAACGTGAGATAATAAAAAAGTGATTTATTTCTCTCTTTTCTTTCTTTCCCTCTTTTCCTGCGTAAATGTAATTCATTGTTTGTGTGGACCAGGGTATTCTTGAAAATGGGAGAGATCGCGTTTTCTTCTAGGTAAAAACTTTTCTAATAAATAAATATATTCTAATGCAGTTTACCATTATAACATGTGTTTCTTAGAACTTGCACTGCTCCTCTTTACTAGAAAGTTTATTACAAAAATTATTTTAACATCTTGACAGCATAAGTAGATGTAAATATAAAATTAAATGATTATAACATTAGTTATTTTATTTCGTCGTTGCATCACATAATACAGAATCTTCTGGAGGACTCTGATAAAGAAGGGCAGTCTCTATTTTATATAATCTCACTAATTAGATTTTTTTTAAATCTAGGCCTGCAGTAGGAAGGCTGGTTTGAGACCTAAAACCATAACATAACACAGTGGGGGAGGCAGATAGAACTGTGAGCATTTGCATGCATCTTTACTGGATCCTGCTGCGGAGAGACGGTTTATAAAGATTTTTAAAAGTTCATCTTTTCCAATTATCACAGACACTCCAATTTCCTAAACATTGGTTCATCTCAGTGCCGCCATATATGCGTAGTTATTGAATGATAATTGTTGAGCCACTTGTGCATGCAATTAGAAGTGTGAAATATTGCAGTTATTGAAGGAAGAAAAAACAATGTAACAGCAGTAATTGAACGTAAGTTGGCATTTATAACAACTTCTGCATAAATATACCTCTTCTGTTTGTTACTTAAACCTATCAGCAGATCATTTGTGAAGAGTCACGGAATAGAATAAATCAAATAAGGCTTGTTAAAGTTTGTAAGTAATCACAGACAAGAAATGGGATGTGAATTAAACTAGCATTCACAAATGTCAAAACAAGATAAATACCAGTCTTACTGCAAGTATTCAGTAAGATGAGAAACAAATATTGTATTACTATGATTTATAGTAGTATTAAATAGATAAATGTACATTTGTGACAAGGGGGGCCTTCTCTCTCCATATAACTAATGTTAAACGTTTCATTTCAGATCTAAAAGTAAAAAAAATGTCTAAAAGTATTAGCTTTTTTGTGCCATGTAATATGTGTATGCAGTGGCGTACACACAATCCATGGGGCCCTGGTGCTAAACTGATCCATGGGCCCCACCCTTCGGTGCAAAACTGATCCATGGGCCCCACCTTCCCTCTATCATCCCCTCCCCCGATAGGCATACGCACACACATACATACAGACACATACAAACAGAAACACACACATAGACACATACACACATACAGACACACACACACATACAAAGACACATACATACAGACACACATACAGATAGACAGACACACACACAGACAGAAACACACACACATACAAAGACACATACATACATACATGAAAGTAGAAAATAATCTGGGCACTCCAAGGTATTCCAACAAACAGGCAATTTCATTGGACACAAGAACCAAAGAACAACGTTTCGAGAAAAAAAAAAAATGGGTCCAATAAAATTGCCTATTTGTTGGAATACCTTGGAGTGCCTGGATTATTTTATACTTTCAAATTTGATATTTGGTCTCTTTGGTACTGGGGCTTATCCAGTTTCAATTGCACCCAGGATTCCAGGATGAAGGTTTGAGTGCATTTCCATTACCTGTATAAATACATACATACAGACACACATACAGACAGACAGACAGACACACACGCACAGAAACACATTCAAAGACATGCACATACATACACACAGGCACATACATAGCGACAGACATACACATACACACATACAGACACAGACACACACACACAAGACACACATACACACAAAGACACACACATACACACAGACAGGCACACATACATACAGACAGACACATACACACATACAGACAGACAGACACACACACACAGAGACAGACAAACATACATACAAACAAACACACACATATACAAAATATTTTAGTCACCCTTCTGTTTCCTACCTTTTAGGTCCCGGAGGGTGACATTCCCTGGAGTCCAGTGGTGGCTCAGGCTGGTGGGAGCCAGAGTTCCCACTCTGACTCCCTGTCCTTCCTCCTGTGCGGGCTCTCTCTGATAGCTGGGAGGAGTGACGGGCAGTCACTTCCTCCCAGCAGTGATGTCTTCAAAGGGGGCCCGGTCGCGCTGTTAAAGCGCCCAGCATTGACCGGGCCCCCTGAAAATCCATCTCCATTGAGTGGCCCTAACAGCATGGGCCACCCGATGGACCCCTTGAACAGCAGCCCCAGTGGTTTGCCTCCAGGGCTGCAAAACATGGCGGTTGGTATAGGAATGACGGGCCCATTCGCAGCTGCAACCCCTGCGACCCCTTTATGTACGCCAGTGTGTGTATAGGTGCATACAATAAATTGTTCACATTTATAAGGAACCTCATACTATTTCACTAATTCTGGAACATCACTACTACCAGAATGTGTCAATAAAAGTTTCTTTTAATACATGCGTGATGCCTTCATATTACAATAAGTTATATAGCACCAGCATATTCTGTATGATAGATAAACAAGAAAACCAATTGTAACGTGACATGTGCATGGTCGCC